GCTAACTTCGGGCGGAGCCGAAGTTTATATACCCTTGCAGTTAAAACCGGATATATATCGCAAACATCGGCCGATCCTTATCTGAATAGGAATATATAATCCAATTTATTACAATACAAAATCTAAAAAAAGTCCCAAACTTCTATCTTCGCAAATACGAAAGTTGATATTTCTACCAAATACCATTTCCGATCGTTTAGTTATATGGCAGCTATGAGATATAGTCGGCCGATCCTAATGAAATTTGGTAGGTTGGATTAACTGACCAAAAATAGAATCTGTATTAAGTTCCATCTTCTTTCTATCTTCAAAAACACGAAAGTTGGGTCATTTCCGATCGTTCAGTTATATGGCAGCTATAGGATATAGTCGGCCGATCCTTATAAAATTTGGCATGACGTAATGTTTTGCCAAAAATAGCTCTCATGTCAAATTTGAACTCTCTAACTCTAAAAACACAAAAGTTATACCATTTCCGATCAATCAGTTATATGGCAGCTATAGGATATAGTCGGCCGATCCCGGCCGTTCCGACTTATATACTGCGTGCAAAGGAAAAAAAGGTGTGTGCAAAGTTTCAAGACGATAGCTTTAAAACTGAGAGACTAGTTCGCGTAGAAACAGACAGACGGACAGACAGACGGACAGACGGACATGCTCATATCAACTCAGGAGGTGATCCTGATCAAGAATATATATACTTTATAGGGTCGGAGATGTCTCCTTCACTGCGTTGCACACTTTTGACCAAAATTATAATACCCTCTGCAAGGGTATAATGAAACTAATTTGAATCATATAACGCTTAAGATAAGATTTTAATGAATTTTTTAGAAAAATGTTCAAGAAAAACGTAACATAAAATTGGTCATCAGGATAGCGCCATCTGACATAAATTCATTATAAATTGTTTTTAAAGCAACAATTATGCGATTTAATACTTAAATACTCTTTTTTAAACAAACTTAATGATTAATTAATAATGTGTGGATCCGCCTTTGTTGGAAATTACTTCGAAAATTCGATTAGGAATAGATTTGTACAGCTGATCTAAGTAATTTAATGAAATGGTGCTCCAAGCGTGTTTTATTCCATCTATCAATTCTGTTTTTGTTTTGTACTGTTTTCCGGACTCATACACCTTCCTAGCCAGCCAACCCCAGACGTTCTCGATGATATTGAGGTCGGGAGAGTATGGTGGCCATTCAAGGACATCAACGTTTTGAGCTACAATCCACGAATTCACGGGCCGGGCTGTGTGAATTGGAGCACTGTCGTGCTGGAAACTCCACTTCAAGTTTTGGAAAAGGTTTTGCATTTGCGGAAATGCCGTTATCAAAACATTTTTGTAGTTTTCGGCAATCATACGCGATGTTAAAAACTGCAACTCGCAGGTGCCAAAGTACGATATGGCCCCCCACACCATGACACCCCCTTTCCGGCTGTGCAGGCGGTCCAGAGTGTGCTCCTCTTTGCGTAGGTCATGAAAGAAGTTATACCCATCGGGCCCTTCTAAATTAAATTTTTTCTCATCAGAGAAAACAACGTATTGCCACTCAGTAGTCCATGACATGTGCAAGCGAGAGAAATTTAAGCGTGTTTCTTTTCTTTGGCAATTAAGAGGGGGTTTTTTCTTCAATTTTAATCTCTTAAGATGTGTAGCTTTTCTGATGACTCTTTGAACTGTAGACAAACTCGCTTTAACACCTGAGTTTTCTCTTATTTTTGCAGATGAGTCATGCGAATTGGATGCTTGCCTTAGTATCGATCGCCTGTTAACATCAGAAATCACACGATTATTACCGCCTTTAAAGTTTTTTCCATAGTTTTCTTTATTTCTAAGAAAACTTGATATTGTTTTCCTGTGCCTTCCAGTTTTCTCGGCGATTTTGTGAAGAGATAGTCAACACTCATAGTATGCCTCAATCTGTGATTTTTCCTTCTCAGATAAAACTGTTCCTCTTCCCATTTTTTCGATTTTTACTCAGCTAATTATTGTTTTAAGTTACACAAAAAATTTGGTGACTGTACGCGGCAAAACAAACGAGATAATTGAAATCACATTTGCAGGCGCTATCCTGATGACCAATTTTATGTTACGTTTTTCTTAAACATTTTTCTAAAAAATTCATTAAAATCTTATCTTAAGCGTTATGTGATTCAAATTAGTTTCATTTTAAAGTAAATTCATTGCAGTTTATTAAAAAAATTATTGGATCAATGTAGCTCAATGTGTTTACCGAAAAATAATCACTAATGTTGAGTTAGATGGGGGCGCTAACCTGATGACGCGCAGTGTATATGTATAGAATAACGTGTTAAAATTTGGAACCGATTGGATTAATAGTTTTTAAGTAACCTCATTCGCCAGTCGTAAAAACACTGTTTCGAGAAAAACGCGTTTAAAGTTTTGAGACGGCTCTCGTCGTCGCCTGAGGCTTCCACCATAAATCGGCTATATCTTCAAGAGTTTTTGAAATTTTTACTTGAAATTTTCAGGGAACATTCTTGAATAATAATAATAAGTTCGAATTAAATTAAAAAAAAAAATCGATTTTTTAAAACCGAGAATGGGGGGGGTCCCCTTAAGTTCGCATAAACAGCACAAAAATCCGAAAGATTGCCCTTTGAAAACATAAAACAAATTAAAACAAACATGGCAACCTTTTGTATTTAAAACAAGAAAGGAAAATTAATAGTTTTTGAGGAAAATAGGCACTGAAATTGTTTACTTTATTTTTAAGAAAGCTCTAGCAACAGTTCCTAAATAAATGAAAAACGACGTTTCCCTCTAAATATTAATTCTTGGAGAAAACTTGTTCCAACCGAATTTTTGAAAATATTTTTCTCATTTTCTCTAAAAAATTTGAGAGTGCTCACACTGCCAGTGTGCTCTCAGATCTGCGGCAGAATTTCCGACCCTATGCACGCGTGTTATGGAAAATGAGAGTTTGTCCCCCACTGATTTATATACTTTATGAAAGGGGTGCCTATTATGAATAGGCCCTATATTTTTTACAACAGGGCAACAATTTTTTTTATTATTATACTATTCCAATTAATGAATAACATCTTACTTAAAAAATGTTCTGCAAAGAAGAAACAAAAATGCATTCGGATTAGAATGATTTCGGAGAATAGGGAAAACACGAAAAATTTTTTTTGTATTTGGGCTTTGCCTATGCAGGGAGCAACACACGTATATGACATTTCATTTCTCATATGAAAGAGCCATTACAACAACAAAGGAGCAACGAGAGTAGAGATGAAACGGATATCCGGCAACTATCCGGTATCCGGCCTCCATGATACTATCCGGCCGAATACCGGATAGCTACGATTTGACCGGATAGATATCCGGCCGATTTAAAAAAAAAAAGCTTTATAAAATAAACATATTTTTGTTAATTATTTGCTTTATTTAGTTAATCTTAAGTATTAAATTACACAATAGTAAGTACTCATTTAGTACTCATACTGCACTAAGGGCAAATTATGATGGATAAATACTAATTCCTCTGCATTGAGAGGTAGCAGGCGGTTGCGTTTTTCTTCATTAATAAGGCCAGCTTCAGAAAAAAGTCTTTCACTATACACAGTAGTGCAAGGAGCAGAAAGGTAGATTTTTGCAAACTTTGCTAAATTTGGGCATTAGCTGCCCACCAAGAATAAGGATGCGATCAATTCGCATTGACTAAAGATGAAAGTCCAGCTCACAGGTTATGGATATGGATACAACTGTTAACTTCACTCATCAACGAAAAAAACCAAATCGAACCGAGTCCACCCGATCGTTGGCGCGACGTCTACGCAAACGGCTAAGTTTTGCAAAACATTCGGATATTCGGCGGCCGGATCTCTAAACGAGAGCAATGGGGCTGTCGGAGATGGATCCTTCATTGCATTTCACACTTTTGACAAAAAGTATAATTTTTTTTTTTTTAACCTGTGTTTTTTTCTTTGGATGAAATTTCTTTTAAATTAACGATGTTTAGAATACATAAGTTAGAATGAAAGATACATACCCTTGAAGTAACAAAGTCGTAGGTGTACAACTCAAGATACTTACAATCGCCATCTACCAATTCACCGGTTTTGTTGGCATTTTCGACATAGACGAAAAAGACGGGTAGACGAGGCCACCTTGAGAAACACACACCGCATTGTTATGCGATGGAAAATGAAAAATGTATTTCGGACTTATTAGATTGAGTTGGAAAACTATAACTGAGATATGTCTTCAGTCAGGTTTTTTCACTGATCAAAAAAAAATGTAGAATTTTTTAAGTTAGGAATATTTTTATTTTTTGTAGTTTATTTTATTTTTGTTTTTTTTTTTTTAACTTTAATTAATAAATTTCATAAATAAGAATGTTATTCGGAATCATCGGTATCAGAGATAGGCATATCCAGATGCTTTATTAGAAGCAAACTCCTAACATCATAAAATCACTCCACGAAAGATTGGTGTACGGGGCCGTCCATATATTGCGTGACGCGAATTTCAGACATTTTTGACCCCCTCCCCCCTGCGTGACAAACCATGACACGAGGTTAGACCCCCGTGACCACAAACCGTGACGTTAACCCGGACCTCCTCCACCCCCCGGCGCGTCACGCAATATATGGACGGCCCCTACATTAATCCTGGCTCGTTGTTAATATACTGAATTACCACTACTTTTTATGAGCTACACATTTATAGACCGAACACAAACATTGATTTTTTGTGTAATACATAGTATTTATTACAGAAACAATTTTGTAAAGCTCGTTGCAAAATAATATGGTGTGTTTGTCCGTTTACAGCTGATGATCAGCTGATCGTAGAGCTTTTAAATCAAAGCTTCAATAAATCTAATCAAAGCATCTTGTGATAAAATATCAACGCTTTGTTAAATTTGAAAATTCGAATAAATGCGTGTATCGACTGCGTGTGTCACTGAAATTTGTTGGTCTCTTTCAAAAAGAGAGACGTACAAAAAATTTGTAAATGAAACTCCAATTGAAATATTTTATTTGTATTACCGGTGTAAATTCACAACACTAAGAAAGATTTTTGAACATTTTTAGTGTATTTTACTTAATGAAGGGATATTCGCAGTTTATTTAAAATGCATTATTTTAATATATTTTTTTGAGATCTATGCTGCACACCCACGGCTCTTTTCAAACAAATGCCAGTGCAATGCCAATCCGGGTGAAGACATAACCACTTAAATTATCACTTTTATGGCAGTGAGTTGTTAATATATCAGATAACAACTGTTTCCACGTATAACAAAGCGTATAGTCAAAGTTTTCTAGATATTATTTGACTGTGCTTGTAATTTATTTGCGTTAAGAGATAAGCTTGAGCTCCCAATAATGTTGTTGGATATTGATAAATTTAGCGAAGACGCTGGTGCAAAATCTCTGGTCACGGAATCAAAAGCAAAGCTGTCATCTGTTTTACTTATATTTGGGGTGTTTGAAGTCAAGTAATCCACTCGACTTTTGAAATTTGTGACTGATGTGTGTAACGTACCAGATGAGTCTGAAATATAGTTTATGTTACAAATTTAAGTTATTATTTAATATTTTTTTAATTTACTGTCAGTTCCATTATTATTCATGTGGGGTAAATAGGACAATGAAGCTGGGCCAAATATTGATTCCCCCATGTTATTTCCAGTAGTAAGAACATTGAGTTCCTCTGGATCAGAAGAATACGTAGAAGACAAGTGTGGCGAAGCCACAGTGGTTTTTCTTAAACTTTCTATCAAAAGTTCGGTATCTCTCAATGGATCTGTCTCAGGTAATGCTCCTTCATTAGTTTTACACTTTTTAGTCACTTTTAAGTCATCTGTTATAAAATCATTTTTAAGATGAGCACTACAATTACTGTTACCCCTTTCCATTGTTAGAGATACGGATGTAAGCGAGGTTGAGGGTGTAGCTACATCATTTACGGCCTTAATTCTTAAACCTGAAATTATTTTGATTAAATAGAGTTGATAAAATGAAAAGGAACCGTAAATAATGAGTAAATGGGTTAATAAATGTAGAACAATTTTTCCATTTTCCAATTGAAGACTTTTTGTTGGATCTTAACACTAGCCATACAACATATAGACTGTAGACAACATAATTAAAAGCTTAAATTTCTTTCCATTAGTTACTCTTGTGCTCCTATTCTTACACACGTACTCTTATTGAATGTATTCGGTTTTTAAGTCGCACAGAGCCGCATATTTATGAAAGTTGGGCTTCGCCCTACACGTACGCGTGTCACACATACACATACCCTTGCGAGTTTCTAGAATTCTAGATTTGAAATTTTGTACATAGATTTTTGCAACTTTTTAAACGTGGTAAGCTAACCAAATTAGAGTATTCATTGACTATTTTTATACCCTTGCAGAGGGTATTATAATTTTTCCAAAAGTGTGCAACGCAGTGAAGGAGACATCTCCGACCCTATAAAGTATATATATTCTTGATCAAGATCACCTCCTGAGTTGATATGAGCATGTCCGTCTGTCCGTCTGTCTGTTTCTACGCAAACTAGTCTCTCAGTTTTAAAGCTTTCGACTTGAAACTTGGCACACACCCTTCTTTCCTTTGCACGGCCGACAATATCCTATAGCTGCCATATAACTGATTGATCGGAAATGGTATAACTTTGGTGTTTTTAGAGTTAGAGAGTTCAAAATTGACATGAGCTATTTTTGGCAAAATAATACGACATGCCAAATTTCATAAGGATCGGCCGACTATATCTAATAGCTGCCATATAACTGAACGATCGGAAATGACCTAACTTTCGTGTTTTTGAAGATAGAAAGATGGCATTGGTACACATTCTATTTTTAGTCAGTTAATCCGATCTACCAAATTTCATAACGATCGGTTGACTATATCTTATAGCTGACATATCACTGACATATCACTTAGGTAGAAATATCAACTTTCCTATTTTTGAAGATGGAAGCTTGGGACTTTTTTTTAGATTTTTTATTGTAATTAATTGGTTTTATTATTATGTAATCATAAGGATCGGCCAACTATATCCAATGTTTGCGATATATATCCGGTTTTAGCTGCAAGGGTATATCAACTTCGGTTCCGCCCGAAGTTAGCTTTGGTTTCTTGTTTATTATAGTACCATTATTATTACCATATATTATATTAACATTAAAAAAAAAAACTACTATGAAAAAATATAAATGAAATAATAAATATAAAAATGAATAATGAAATATATAAATAGGAAATAATAATTTAAAAAAATATATATTAATATTAAAATTAGAATTTAGAAATACAATATAAAAATAAATAAAAAAAAAAAAAAAAAAATTAAAACGTGGTTTTTACAGTGAAAAGTTTTTGGCAAAACAAAAACGAAGTGCCTTCGTATTAGTACGAAAAACTGAGAGACTATGCAATTTTTGTTGCTTAGCTCGGCAACGGAGGCCACGAACAAAGAGATAGGAAGAGGTAGAAAAAAACGAAAAATTTTTTTTGTAATTAGCTTTTGCCTATGCTGGGAGCAACATACGTAATATGACTTTGCATTTCTCATACGAAAGAGCAATTCCTACAAAAAAGGAGCAAGGAGAGAAATGGGTGTGGGCTAAAAAACGACATTCAAAGGCACAACCCTGAAAATGAATTGAGTGGGATAGGATGCTGAGACGAAAAGTAATGAATTGCACGACAGTGTAGGTCTCACTCGCTCAACATTCGGGGGATGAAAAACGAATTGAATGATTTCGAGTTTCATATCGCATTCGAATTGTTTCGAATGCATTCTAGAATGTACGATACAACTATGTATGCATATTTGCCTGTATTTTTAGACGCTGATAATAAAATGCAGTAGCAGACAATAAAATCCGGACACGATTGTATTTGGGTAATTATTTTGAGTTTAATTTTTTTTTGGTTATATCCTAACGGCATTTAGCTTTCATTACCTGAAAGTTTGTTTTTATTTTATAAAGCTTCTTAACCTTTAAAATTTTTTTTGTGAAATATGTTAAAAATGACTGAAGCTGACAAAGGTGCTACATTGGCCTTACGGCGAACGGTATGGCAAGGAGGATCCCGAATGGTCTGGGGATGATTTTCCTATTATGGAGTTGGCATTAATGGATGTTACTGTAAATGCCGAAAAGTACCAACCGATTCTGGCATATTTTAAAAGTTAAAAGGCCTGCGTGTGGCTAGCGAAAGAGCGACGGATAGGGGAATATAAGGCAACGCAGCACGTTGCCATACACATGTACTTTTGTTAGAATAAAACATTTGCAACACATTGCATATTTGCAACACATGGTAAGATATTTGTGAATGTAAATATGAAAATTTCAGTTTTTTTTTTGAGTATTTCCTTTATTTTTTTGGATTCTACAGTGTTTTTATTAATTGGTGTATTTTGGTGTATACCCACTCTGATACACATTGAATTTTTCGATTGTTGCTGCACCATATTTCGAAAAGTTTGCTGTGACTAAACTCAATCGTGCCTATATACTACCAAAATGTGAGAAAAGGGGGACGAACGGGAATGAGTTTTTGGTTTTTGGTTAAAGACAACACTCACAAGTAAAATCTGGACCAATTAGTTGCTTTCAGCATGGAACAGCTTACTAGTTATATTCCACGAAACACGGAGAACGCATGTTAGTTTTCATGTTTTTACGCATGTTAGTAAAAAAAATACACATGAATTGGGAATTACATCCCTAGAACTACATTAATTAGTGCATACCTTGAAGATTTCTTTCCATAATTTGGTTTAATTTTGCGGACCAATTTAATGCGTGTAACACAACATAAAGCAACTAAATATTTTGGCGCATATATCTTGTGACAACAGCGCTGCGGTAGAGTTTTAGGATCAAAAAAAGTCATTTTTGGGAAAAAACTTGGTGTTGAAGTCAATAAGTTGCGTCAACTCAAAGGCTATCTCAGAACACTTTCACCGTATGCCACTGTCAACATTTCAAGTGTTTCGGAGAAATACACAAAATTTGATACACATCCTTGATCCATATTTTTCGAAAGCAAAAAATCGCCGAGCACGCAAAAGAGTTTGTAACCTTTACGCCTCTCACAACCAAACAAAAAAGGGGATTTGATTGAAACTTGGTACAGATGTTAGGAAAGAATGTACCAACATAACAAAACAAAAAAATCGATAATCGAAAATATGTTGCCCGCGAGTTTTTGAACACACCTCGTATTTTTACAAAAATTTCTCCTAAAGTGATAGATTTTTGGCAAAATGACAAAAATGGTATACCTAAAGCAATACCTTTCGATTGGTATTTCATGCATTCAGATTAAACGCACACAGTAAGTTAAAAATTAATCGGCTATATATAATGTCTTCACGCGCACGCTAAGGTTTGCTTGCTTCGTCACCCGTGGACTGCCGTCCTCATCGATAAATGTCACAAAGCAGAAAGAAAATTTTAAAAATTTTGGGTCGCGCCACGGCGTATAACACCTTAGAGAGGACTTCTAGCCTAGAAATTTTTCAAATATCTAAAATTTTTTTTAATATTCTAAAGTTAAGATCAGTGGTGGCGAAACACACACAAGTATCACATATACACATGTATCACATATATAATCGCGTAAAAAAAAATCGCGTAAATATGGTAACCGCTAACTAAATGACTAATGACTAGATTTGCTTGAATAATTTGAGATTTGACTAGAATAATTGATACACATAGAGTAATAGCGATCGCAATCGCGTTAAAGTGAAAAATCCGCGTAAAAAAAGAAATTTGCGCTGCAAAAATAACCGCGTTAAAGTGAAATCGCGTAAAAAGATATCGGGTGTAAATGTGTATGAAAACATCGAAGAACAAAAAGATCAGTACTTTTAACCGAAAAAACTAAGTTGGTTATTGTGTTTATCGTTAATTCAGAAGTTTAAATGCATTTAAATAGTGAATTTTTATACCCTTGCAGAGGGTATTATTATTACTCTTTCTATTAGGCAGAAAGAGAAATCTCCGACCCTATTAGGTATATATATTCTTTATCAGGATCATTTCCTGAGTTGACATGAGCATGTTCGTCTGTCTGTCTGTTTCTACGCGAACTAGTCTCTCTGTTTTAAAGCTATCGACTTGAAACTTTGTACACACCCTTCATTCTTCTCCACGAAGTCGGAACGGCCAACTATATGTTCTAGCTGCCATATAACTGATTGGTCGGAAATGCTATAACTTAGGTGTTTTATTAATAAAAGCTTAAAAGGTGATATTAAAAAAAGCTTATCTAGCGACCATTTAAAAAAAAAAAAAAAAAAAAAGGAAAGCAAACTCTTGCAGATAAAATCGGATGCATATCGAAATATATATCGGATGCATATAATTGACAGATAAAATTCCATAATAAAACCTAAATATAATAATAAAACATTTAAAAAAAAGTCCCAAAATTCTATCTTCAAAAATACCAATGTTGGTATTTTTACCAAATAACATTTTACATAGCTATGGGGGGGCCCATAGCCTAGTGGGTAGTGTAGCTGCACGCTAAGCGGTGGGTCGTGGGTTCGAACCCCACTCATGACAATCATGACCTCCAAAGTTTTTCGGCCTCATTACGCTTAGTGGTCTCTTTTCCGATGCTACTAAACATGTGAGGTCGAAAAACGGTATTCCCAGATATCGACAGGTGGCAGCCCCACCTCTGGGATAGGTTATACCTGGCTAATCACCGGATCAACTGAAAAATCAATTGATTAAAGAAACTAATACAAGAAGAGAAGAAACCAACCACCTCCCCAACCCGTTGACGACCATTCGCATATCGACCAGGAAGCATCGTAAGAATGGCTCTGGAATGGAACCCACAAGGAAGCAGAAGAGTGGGTCGCCCAAAGATGACCTGGCGTCGTACAGCACTGCTAGAAATGTCCCGAAAGAACATCAGCTGGGACACAATAAAAGCAAAAACAGCGGCAAAATAAAGTTAGGTGGAGAGCCCTTGTAGAGGCCCTAAGCTCCCGAGAGGAGTAATAAGGAAAAAAAAAAAACATTTTCGATCGTTCAGTTGTATGGCAGCTATAGGATATAGTCAGTCGATCCCGTTCCGACTTATATACTGCGTGCAAAGCACTATGGGGTTTTTGACCACTTTATGTGGCATTTAATCATTTTTTGAAAGTTCTCTGATTTAAAAAAAATTAATCGGAATGTATTAAGAAAACATCAAACTATTATGCCTAACACTCAAAATATTAATTATTAGCACCATATGCTAGCATAACAGCTACAAAGTCAGCTGTTGCATTCGAAAGCACGTGCGCTAAGTTTGCAATTTTCACATAGTGATTTGAGAAATTAGATTATTTGTTTAAAACTCCATTTAAAAAGAAAAATAGTAATGGACACTGATTTCACAGGTTTGTACTACATTTTAAATATATTAACTGTTTAAATTGTGCGTGTCTATACTAAAATTTTGTCATTTTATAGATGCACCTTAAGCTGAATTTTGGGAAACAAATTTCAACTTTGAGAAGAGTTTTGAAATAGAAGGAATAAAAAGTTTTCAATGCGTCCAAGTGTATGTTGTATCGTTGTCAATACTGAGCAAAGGCTGTTAGTCTTATTGTGCACTTTTCTCCACTATCGGTGCAATTTGAATTTTTCTTAGATAACCTCACTTTCTCCAAAAGCCGACTTGGTCGCTGCTTGGGCCGGGCTAAGCATCAAATGGCTGTACAATGTTTTTTTTTAACGCCATGCAAATAACAATGTGGATAATGCCGTTTTGAAAAAAAGCCACCAGTTTTTAATGGAAGTAATGAAAAATACGGTGCTTTCAGTCGGCTATTTTGGAGAAGAAGCGTCTGAGTCCTGAAACAAGCTGTATAAATCAGACAGGCGTCACCATTCAAGAAAGCACAGCCGATTACATTCCTTCGCTGATGTGTTCAACAGAGCTATGGATACATCAGATCCAATTATTTTGTCCTTAATTTATCAAGATGCATAAAAAACCTAAGTCTTTTACTTCCAATTGAGGTAATTGAGATGCTTTCGTACGAATACGAAAATAATGTTTGTCTCGAAGATGACGAATTTAACGATTCCAGCTTGTTTTTTTTAGATAATATTGATATATTATAGAAAATGAAAAAAATAAATAATAAGATTAATACTGCTGTATGAAGGAATTTTTCTTTTTCAACTTTTATATGCATTTGTATGGAAGAACGCTGAAATCCGGTATTTTAAACTGATAGTTCCCAGGGAAAACGTTATCCGATTTGGTTCAAAATTGCTATATCGTATTAAAATAGCAACAAATATCAGCTACTTAAATTTCATTAATTTATCTTTACTTTTACCAAATCGTTCCTATGGGAGCTATAGGATATAGTTTCCTGATCCGAACGATTTTCATAACATATGTGCCTAGGATCAAATAATAACGATTGGTAAAGTTTCATGTCGATATCTCCAAAACTGACTGAGTTATTAATTAATGCCACAAAAAACAGGTCAAAAACCCCATAGTGCAAAGGAAAGAAGGATGTGTGCAAAGTTTCAAGTCGATAGGTTTAAAACTGAGAGACTAGTTTGCCTAGAAACAGGCAGACAGATTGACGGACCGACATACGGACATGACGAACGTATATACTTTATAGGGTCGGAGACAAAATTATAATACTCTCTGCAAGCGTATAAAAACGAAAGTTTCTTCAATTCTTTTGCCAATTGACACTTTGAACATGTCCCAAAAATTTCAAGGCACTCTGTCAATTCGTTAATAATTCTTAATAATGTTAAATTTAAAACATATTAAATTTTTTTTTAATATGCTAGTGGGAATAATATATTCATGTCAATAAAATTTTACAACATAGTTTGCCTTTGTATTACACTGTTAGCTTTCAGTAGCATACGGCCGATTTTGCGTAGCAAGAAAACTTGTCCAACCCATACGCTGAGAATAAGTCGTTGTTAAAGAGACTTTATTCCACAGAAACGACGTCTTCAATTGGAAAATTAAAATATTTTGGAAATTCGAAGACCTATATATTATTTACAATCAAGAAAATGTAAACCAATACATTCTAATTATTCTTACATTTAATATTAGTCATTGTATACAAATTTTTTTATATAAGTGATTTTTAAATACTCTTAATGATGACCGTCCCTGAAAAAATGTAATTGTTTTTATACCTGTTACTGGCGACTGGTCCCCGCTAACATTACAACCGCCGCTTGGAGGCCTAGGCAAACGACGTCGAAGCCATGGATGTTTTAACGCCTCAGATGGTGTCAATCTTTTTTCAGCATCCCATTCCAAACACCCACGGATAAAATTTAGAAATAAGGGATCTTTGCAACCATCCAGCGCTTTAGACAGACTTTTTGAGCAAGGAGGGCCTCGTGGTTTTCCACGACGTGATTGTCCACCTATTAGCACTACCATTCCATCAGACATTGTGCGAACAGTGCAGTAACGTGGATAGCCTTTGGGACTAAAAAAAGATTTCGATCTTTTCGAGTTTGCTAATATATTCTTATTTGGCATGCCCAACACTTCAATAATACAAGCCAGTTGGTCACTTTCATTTTCACCTGGAAACAATGCATGTCCGGATAAGAGCTCAGCTAGAATACAACCCAGGGACCACATATCAATAGCTCTTCCATATTTTGCTCCCAATATAACCTCTGGTGCTCGATAAAACCTCGATTGGATATAAGTATATATACGTTGATTTTCAAAGCAAGACGAGCCAAAGTCTATAACCTATAATTAGAATAGAAAAACATTTAATGTTATTATTATTATATATAATATTATTTTTTGTGCAATTATAAAGAATTGTCCACATATTCATCGTACAATGTTTTCATAAAAAAATAATGGCTTTTAAAGAAAAAACAAGAAAGGAAAGCTAACTTCGGGCGGAGCCGAAGTTTATATACCCTTGCAGTTAAAACCGGATATATATCGCAAACATCGGATATAGTTGGCCGATCCTTATGGGAATAGGAATATATAATCCAATTTATTACAATACAAAATCTAAAAAAAGTCCCAAACTTCTATCTTCAAAAATACGAAAGTTGATATTTCTACCAAATACCATTTCCGATCGTTCAGTTATATGGCAGCTATGGGATATAGTCGGCCGATCCTAATGAAATTTGGTAGGTTGGATCAACTGACCAAGAATTAAATCTGTACTAAGTTCCAGCTTTCTATCTTCAAAAACACGAAAGTTGGGTCATTTCCGATCGTTCAGTTATATGGCAGCTATAGGATATAGTCGGCCGATCCTTATGAAATTTGGCATGACGTAATGTTTTGCCAAAAATAGCTCACATGTCAAATTTGAACTCTCTAACTCTAAAAACACCAAAGTTATACCATTTCCGATCAATCAGTTATATGGCAGCTATAGGATATAGTCGGCCGATCCGGGCCGTTCCGACTTATATACTGCGTGCAAAGGAAAGAAGGGTGTGTGCAAAGTTTCAAGACGATAGCTTTAAAACTGAGAGACTAGTTCGCGTAGAAACAGACAGACGGACAGACAGACGGACAGACGGACAGACGGACATGCTCATATCAACTCAGGAGGTGATCCTGATCAAGAATATATATACTTTATAGGGTCGGAGATGTCTCCTTCACTGCGTTGCACACTTTTGACCAAAATTATAATACCCTCTGCAAGGGTATAAAAACAATTAAATTTTTTCATTTTTAGCTACTTTGAATAGCATTTTTATGTTTAATTACTTAGAAATCAATTAATTAGAATACAAATAAAAAAAAAACAAGAAAGGAAAGCTAACTTCGGGCGGAGTCGAAGTTGATATACCTTTGCAGTTAAAACCGAATATATATCGCAAACATCGGATATAGTTGCCGATCCTTATGGGAATGTGATAATATAACCCAATTTATTATAATTCAAAATCTAAAAAAAGTCCAGTTGGTATTTCTACCAAAAACCATTTCTGATCGTTCAGTTATGGCAGCTGTAAGATATAGTTGGCCGATCGTTATGAAATTTGGTAGGTCGGATTAACTGACCTAAAATATAATCTGTACCAAGTTTCAACTTTCTAAAATCACGAAAGTTGGGTCATTTCCGATGGGTCATGGCAGCTATAGGATATAGTCGACCAATCCTTATAAAATTTGGAATTTCGTATTATTTTGCCAAACATAGCTCTCATGTAAAATTTGAACTCTCTAAAAGGGTGTGCAAAGTTTCAAGGCGATAGCTTTAAAACTGAGAGACAAGTTCGCTTAGAAACAGACAGACAGACGGGCATGCTCATATCAACTCAGTAGGTGATCCTGAGAATATATTTACTTTTGCACATTTATATATTTTTATATACTGCGTTGAACACTTTTGGACAAAATTATAATACCCTCTGCAAGGGTATAATTACCAAGATTCATCTTTAAAACACGAGAAATCGATTGGAAATCGTTTATATCGTTATACAGGGTGCTCCATCGTTTATGTCGGTATGTAAACATGGAATAACTTTGAGAAAAAACAACCGATTTCTATAAGTAATGTATTTTTATTCTGTTTCGTTCCTTACAATTTTTTTGGGCTATTTTTTTAAAAAAATATCAATCAAGTGGTCACCTTTGTTAGCAATTACAAAATGACACCTTTTTTCTGCGTTTGCCATTACCTTTCCGAGCATCTCGGGTGTTATAGCTTCGATTTCAGCACAAATGTTTGCCTTGAGCTCGTCAATAGTTTGAGGCTGGTTGGCGTAAACCTGCGCCACATAGTCGTTTTACTGTCCCGAAAATGCAGAGCGCGCCGACGATACGACACTGTTGGGTCCCGAGCACCACTCTCTTTCATTTCTGCAACCAGTTTATTGGAACGTCTTGGCCTTTGATGAACGGCATGTTGACGATCTCCTTCTGTCCCGTGTTCAAAAAAATTCGACACGAAACGACGAATAGTATTGTCAGATGGTGCCTTTTTGCCGAGATATTTTTTCCGATATGCATGTTGAGTTACATAATGGAACGACTGTTTTCGATGTAAATTGTCACAAAACTTTAAAAAAATAGACGTTTCCAAAAACATATCTGGTGCAATCCAGAAACATATCTGGTGCAATCTGTTTCTACGGAAACAACTCTCTCAGTTTTAAAGCTATCGACTTGAAACTTTGGACGCACCCTTCTTTGCTTTGCACGCAGTAAATAAGTCGGAACTATAGCTGCCATATAACTGATTGATCGGAAATGCTGTAACTTTGTTATTTTATGAGTAAGATCGTATTTTGGCAAAATAATACGACATGTCAAATTTCATAAGGATCGGTTAACTATATCCTTTAGCAGCCATATATATGAGCAATCGAATATGACCCAACTTTTGTGTTTTTGAAGATGGAAAGTTACGATTTTTTTTTTTTTTTTTTTTTTTTTTTTTTGTAAATTAAGTTACTTCCCAGCTCAGTAGAGTGGGAAGAATTCCTTGGCCGTCCCGTGAAGACGGGTAAACGCCAACGCCTATGTGTGAAATTAAAAATTTCAAGATACTTGTTATGACAATGCGAACAAATTATTTATATTAAAATGACTTGAGGCTTGATGATGTGGTTGGGAAATAAACGATAATGAAGATATGAAGATGTGATAGTCAACTATTTAAAGTGACCTTGTTAATACATATATGCACATGCTGGTTGTTAATAGTTATCCATAGTTAATAGTATTAATTATCTCCAGTGATATAAAGAAGTTAAAAGGCGCCTTATAAATCTATATTAGCCAGTTTAATGAAATTAGTTATTGAGCTGTAATTTTCAACTGATTCTTGAGAAAAAGATCGATTCGTATCGTATTTGAGCAGGAGCGGGAAGTTTCTGCAAATATTATCGTATTTGGAACAATTTAAAATTATGTGTGAAATGTCTTCTATTGTATTGAAATTGCAATCGCAGTTGGGACTGTCATGGACTTTTAGTTTGTATAGGGTATTGTTGGGATCGGGGCGAGGTTGGTGCACGATTTTTTAAGCAAACATGGATTTGGTTATTCTTTCCTTTATTTAAACTTAAATCATGGCGCGCGAGAGCTAAAAAACTTCGTCGTTTTCCCTCGCCTCGTTAGCTTCACCTAGCGATCGCAAAATGCTTCGTTCTTCCGCCATTAATATCGATATCGTATATCGATAAGCTTACGTCTAGCGTTTTTCAAAACTTATTTAAACATTATTCAACACTAATTTTAACGATTTCATTTTTCAAATATAAACTTAACTCTATGACGGCGGTAACATTCCCTCCCCCGTAATTGATCCGATTCCGTGGTCAGTTACCATTATTGAAGCCGACGTCCAGAACTGCAACCTTTGTTGCTGGTCTTTCTATAGCACCATGCTGCATCTTGATGGTCACCCGCCGAACTTGTCCATCATTGCGTCAGTCACGCGTCCTTTTAGCCACAGGTTCCTAGGAAGAAGCTCGTCCACGACTACGACGATGCTCCCGATGGTGATTGGAGGTACCTTCTCAAACCATTTGGTGCGCCTGGTTAACACGGGTGCATACTCCTTAACCCATCGTTGCCAAAAGCGTTCTCCGAAGCGCTGAGTCTCGTTCCATCTACGCTTCAGATTCATTCCCTCTTTTGTCAGCGGCTTGTATCCGTTCGCTGATCCTAGCAGCAGGTGGTTTGGAGTCAGGGCAGCGTCATCCTCGGAATCCAAACTTACGAACGTGAGAGGTCGCGAGTTGATGATAAATTGTGCCTCCATCAGTGCGTTTCCCAACCCCTCGTCGTTGAAAGAGTAACTTGGGCAAATGTTCTTCAAAATTCCTTTCGTTGTCCTGACGAGTCTCTCCCATGCTCCACCCATGTGCGGTGATCCTGGTGGGTTGAATCGCCACTTTATGCCGTCGAACTTAACAGTGATCTTATCGTGCTCTATCTTTTTCAGCTCCTCGCGCACGGCTTTTTCCGTGGCTCTGAAATTTGTACCGTTGTCTGAGAATATTTCCCTCGGTGTCCCTCGAAGGGCCATAAAATTGGCTAGGCACTTGATACATGAACTAGTATCTAGACTGTAGGCGATCTCAAAATGCACCCCGCGCAACTTAAGACAGGTAAACAGAGCTACCCATCTCTTCTCTTTGCGCCGGCCGACGTTTACCAATAACGGGCCAAAATAGTCAACGCCTGTATAGGTGAACGGCCTCTCCAACTCTTGCCCTCGGGATCGGTGCCATCTGGGGTGGTCTGGGAACTGCTGTCGATCTTGCATCGTTGGCATGTGTTTCGCACAGATTTGTGCAATACTCGTAGCCGGCTGATACAAAACAAATATTTGATGCCGTTTATTACAGTCTCATGAGCGAGATGGTGATACTTTTCGTGGAAGCTCCTAACTATGAGGTCGGATATCCGGCATCCATGAGCTACATGTAGTATGATGGCGTCCTCAGCTATGTCAACTGCGTTCAATCTGCCTCTGGTTCGTAGTACTCCATCGTTGTCCAGGTATGCGTTCAATCCGGCTAATCTGCTTCCCTTGGGGAGCGCCGTTCCCGCGGATAACGTTTTTAGTTCTGCTGCGAAGGCGATGGATTGAGATTGCTTGTATAGCATCATTTTTGCCTTGCTCACATGAGCCATTGTCGTGGTTGCTGGCATGTCTTGTCCGGCACATTTCGCTCGCAGCCGATTAATATCTTGGATATTGGCCAGTTGCTCGCATCGTCTCTCGGTGGGTTTGCTCGGTGACCTTG